AGTGCATTTCAAACAGAAATTATATTGATTGGAATCAATTTTTTTAAATTTCTTCTAAAATAGCCGATTAGTGCCCCCCTTTTTTAGTCGTTGTTCACTGTAATGAAATTCTTTATATCAAAAAAATCTTCCAAAAATAAAATATACTTTTCAGAAACTTTGAGGAATATTAGCTGATTTAAAGTATAATTAAACTGATTTGAAAAATTTTTTTTACTTTAAAATAATATAGAAATGTATTTTTAAAACAAAACAGTGTTTTATGTAATTAACAAGGTGTTGACGATATTCAGTCCCCCCCCCCCCAGCCCCACGAGGGTGTCATGTGGCACAAGGCCTTTTTAACATGGACATTCCGAGCCTGTGGGCTCGGCCAAAAATATGCCCATTGAACCTGTATAAACGGGTTCAGGGCCGGTTTTACCTCCCCGAAGGAGACTCCGCCCTTCGGCGTAGCCTCAAGGTGTTGACAGGTGATATCAAGGATTGCTGTTCCATGGAGACTATTTGTAAAGAAAATAACATGAGCACCATTTTTTATATAATTTTTAAGTACTCAATCTTAAAAAGGTTGGAAAATATTCTATGTAATCTAATTTTAGGAATGCTGACTTTAAATTTTCTCTAGTTATTGTTCTTATTTTCTGATAATGTTGTGTATGGTTGACTATACTTTCAAAAATGGACAAGTTACATAAAAAATTTTTTTAATTATTTTAATAATCTTTGTGCAAAATTTTTTTTATTAAGCTTTTCGATTTTAGATTAAATACGGTCTTCACTTATTAACAAGATCACCTAACCAGATGAAAGTAGTGCAGAATTTTAAAAGATTAATAAAAAGTCTAAAAAATTCATTATTCATCAAAAAAGTTTTTAAGACAATAATTTACTTAATAAATCTTATTTATAAAAGTAATTAAAAGCTTTTCTAATTAAATAATGTCATAATTTTACTGCATTTTATATTTTACGATTTGGAGCAGATTTTCAGGAAATGAGTAGTTTGAAAAGAAAGAAAAAAATTGATTTACATTCAGGGTCCTGATTTTAACAAAAAAAAAAAAACAAAAAAAAAAAAAAAAAAAAAAAAAAACCTCTGACACTAAAAAAACAAAAATTTAACCAAAATTACAAATGTGCTTGTTGAAAGGATTAAAAAAAATTAATAACAAAAAAAAAAAATTTGAAGTATTTTTTTTTTATTATGTTATTAATTCTGACAATAAAATCTTGTTTTTATTAAGTTTGGGACCTTTTTTCATCATGCTATACTGTCTTTTTTTTTTAATGACAAGTGGAGGTACCTACTTTAAAAGGAACCAGAAACCCAATCCTAAACAGGAATCAAGGGATAAAGCTTTACACCTGTTCAACCTATCTATGCTCATGGAAGAAAAAATAAAATGGTATTAAAAGAGTTTAGGCAGAAACATTAGAAATATAGAGTTGATAGAAACTTTAGGAGGAACCAGAAACCTAAACAGGAAACAAGGGATAAACCTCTACTCCTGTTCAAAAGACCAGTGGAGGTGTGAGATATATATCAATTCATAGATTTTTAATCAGAGAATACTTTGTTATTACTATAAACATTATACAAGGAAAAAAAAAAAAAAAAAAAAAAAAAGAAAAAAAAAAAAAGGTAAATTTGGACTTTCCTGCCCACAGAAAAAACAGTGTCAAAAGAAAGTCCCCCCTTCCCAATGGCAGCCACTATTATTTTCACTACCTCCACTTGTCAGCAATGTTTGTTTTAAAAAGTAATTATTAGAATTGGTAGTAAAATCTAAACAGATGATGAAAGTGAATTTACACAAAGAAAATATATAAATTCCCTTTCATCTGTTTAGGTTTGGTTTGTTTTATGGTATATCAACCTCAATGGGTCATTTAATGCAAACATTTTTTTTTTTTTTTGGTAATATTTTTGTTTTGTCAAAATCTATTTCTCTTAATTTTTTTTTCTTCAAAAATGTATAGCTAGTAATATTTTTTCAAAAACGTATTGCTGGCAATAGTTTTTTTTCCAAAAACGTATTCCTGGTAATATTTTATAATGCTTTTTACCTCAGCTTCAGGGTTAACTATTTGCCCATAGCTGGGACCCTAACAGGTGCTACCACCCTGGATCAGGTTGAACCTGGGAACATTAGCAATTAAGAGGTGGGTCCACGCTCCTCAAAACCTCCTTGCTGTTGGACATAGTTTATCGTCTTACCCAGGCCGCAGATGTAGTTTATCGTCATATCCGGGACTGTCATATGTTTAGGTTTTATTTAAATTTTAATCATTGCTTTTTAAAACAATAAACACTGCTGAAGGTCCAAGATTGCCAAAAAAAAAAAAAAATAAAAAAAAAATAAAAATAAAAATAAATAAATAAATAAAGGGATGTCTATTCAAACAAGTGTACCCACTAAATATAATTTTAAAAGGTTTGGTAAAATGACTGATATGAAATATCTGAAGAAAGTATATCAAATGGAATATAAGAAAACCATTTGGATGCTTTAATTTTTTTTATTCTATTGCTAATGTTTTGTTGAATAAGAACATCAGAACAAATGAAGAGGAAAAATTGTTATCATGGCAACCATGTTACTTAAAAATGGTGTGATTATTTTGAAAATTTTATGAAATTCAACATTTAAAATTAAAAAATAAATATTTATAGTGTATATAAATAGGCTTATTGTACTTATTAATATCATTTTTCCTTATATAAGTGTCAGCCCTGAAGTTTAAAAAGGTGTTGAGTAGGTACCCAAAAAGAAAAAAAAAGAAGTAACAAATGAGTTTAATTGTAAAAAATGAAATATCATTCTTGAAACTTCAATTGAAATTTATCAGTAAAACTTATAAATTCATCCATATTTACAGCTCTGTCAATACAAAAGTTTTATTTAATAAAAAAAAAAATCTTTCAAAAATGCAACATATTTTCTGAAATGTTATTTGAGGAAAATTAGTCTATTTAAAGTTTAATCTCAATTGAAACAAATATTACTTGTAGTTTAAAATATTACAGAGACATTTTTTTTAGCATGGCATGAGTGTTTTTCTGATGTGTTGAGTGATTTATTGATAGCCTGATGTTTTTTGCAGAATTTAAGGACATAGTTGAAAAATTAATTGAAGAATACAACGTAAATGCTTTTTTCGTTTTTAATTTTTTAACTACCCAATATTCTTAAAAATTTAAGAAAATATTTTAAGCAATCTCATATTTTTTTTAATTTTAGGTACTTTGGCTATATAGACATACTTATGAAGATTCATGTTGAAAAAGATGTTAGAAAATTACCAACAAATTTTTAAATATATGTAGGTACTTCTCTTATTATCAATGTCATGTATAGCTCTGGGTACGTCTACCGTAGTTTCCCTTGCATACATACATAAAAAAAATTCAAAATAACTTTTAAAAAATACTAGGTCATTGAATTGTAGTGAGCTTTTCCATTCATGATTAGTAAATAGTTTTCTAATAAAAATATCATTTGACTGCTACAATTGTTTTTTTTAAGACAAAAGTGTTCATTTTAGTCATAAAAGTTTACTAATAAAATTAGTTTTATCATACGGGGCAAATTTTCTTTAACAAAAAGAGTTCGATGATTTTAAATTCTCTGGGGAATTGTCCTTAAATATAAACATTTTAAAAAGATAAAGAAAATTAGAAATTCTTGAAATTTCCTAAAATTTAGTGTATGGCTAGTATGCAACTAATTTTTAATACATACAAAGATTTTTCTAAAAAACGTTTAAAAATAATATAGTCATTTTAATTAATTTCTGATTAAGTATTGAAAAGTTTCATTAAAATCCGGTAATTATCTTATTTTGTAAGAATTTCCAAAGCAAGGCTAAAATTTCCCGTACAAATTTTGCGTTGACGCTAAAAAAAAAAAAAAAAAAAAAAAAAAAAAAAAAAAAGATTTTTAACCAAAATTTCAAAGGTTTTGAAAAAGATTAAAAAAGAAATATACCAAAAATCATTTGATCTCTTATTATCACTTAATAATAACAAAGATTTCGGCGATAAAACATTGTTTTTATTTTGATATTTTTGTCAATCTATTTTTTCGAGGAATATTTGCAGATTTGGGTCATAAAATTTCATTATAAAAGAAAATTAAATCTATAACTGTCCAGATTATCTCAAATTATGGCATGGTAAGCCTAAATAATATTAATTATTTTTATATTCTAAAAGTTATTTTAGGTGTTAGAGAAGAAAAAAAATGTGTTTTTGTTTTGTTTTTTTCAAAAAGGGTTGCTGGTTAGTCTTGCTCTTGCAGGAAGTAAGTTTTCTGCCTAGTTTCTTCGTCGACAATTAAAAAAATATATACGATTTAATGAATATAACGTACTAATTATTATAACTTTGCGGATGTCTTTTATTTAACCTTTAAATTTTAAAACAGTCGCAAGCACAGTTTAACTTAAATTTTCTTACTGATTTTTAATAATAACTCAAAAGGTTCAAAAATGTTAAAAAGTATGAACGAAATAAAAGAAAATTAAGTACAGTATTTACAAAAACTAAAATAAAATTGTAAATCAAATAAATAAGTGCTGACTAATATATATATTTTAAAAAAAAAAAAAAAGGAATATTCTTTTTAAATTTAATTTTACATTTTTTAAACGATCCTCATATTGTGAATATTTCAGAACAAAAACAAAAATGTTTTGTTTGTCAAAGAAAGAAAACGAATAATTAAAATATAACAGGAGCCTTAACAATAGAAAGCAGCTTTTACGAAACACCAATCCTTTTCTTGTTTATAACAGCACCAGTAATTAAACAAAACACATTTTTAACACCGAAATGAGGGGGATCAAAACACAATACAATTTTATTGTAAACTGAACCCCCACTTTGCGATCGCCTACCCATGGATGACTTGGTTGTTGTCTATACAATTGACGTGCAAGGTTCTTCTTCGTCTACCGAAACAGACTAGTAGCAAATAATATGAATAGAACATTACCTCGATATTAGTGCCAGGCCGATTGCGTCGCACAACGGCAGGAGCATCAGCCATTTTCATGATTGAAGATTATTTTTCGTGTTCACACTAACGAAAGAAGAGGATCGCCCACAAATATGTCGTCACCGCCTACCCCAAATAAGAAGAAAAATCTTGCTTATAGCGATCCTGGCGGCCGCTCAGCCAAACACTTGGGAAAGATAACTCTGACTGGTACACGCTTTTATTATCTCCCTTTACTTAATGCTCTAAAAGCGTAATAATGGCTAACAACAAGATTGTTTGGTTAAATCAGTTACGAGTGAATAGTGAGTTCGATCTTCACTGGGTACTTCATACTTACGAACTTGTGCCACTTTTACGCTACACTTCGTAAATCAATGTATTCGCAAGTAATAATTTATTTTCACAGGTGGTCCGAAAGTCTTGTCACCTCCTACCAAACAATAATGAAAGTAATACAACAAGCATGTCATATATCCTCTATGCTCTTGCCAGAATGCACACGCTCATGTGTCCCTACACTAGCAAGGAGTTTCTCTTCCAAACTGTAGAAACTCGTGTCAGTCTTCTGAAATAGAAAATTATATCATATAGGGTTGACAAGACTTTTGGACCATCCTATACAATATATAGTGTGAGCACAATAACAGTGTTTGAAAAAGCAAGTTTCCAATTACAAAATACTATTTTTCTATCTGGCCATCACCATTGGTTTTGTAGGAATTTCAGTTGTCCAGATTGTGTTAAATTAAAAATCTGAATTTCAAACAATAATTAAAAAAAATGAAGAAAACATGCTTATGCCTGTTAAATAAGTCATTTGTATTTACAAAAATATGTATATATGTAGAGGACCGTGGGTTTAAGTGTTGTTAAATTAGGGACACGTGCATTTATTTCCTGCTAGAAGAAGGTCCAACTACAAGAACATGTCGGACGCAAGTTGAGAAGTGTGTGATGTGTGTGTGTTGGAGAGGAACAGAAGGTTTGAATTATCAGAAGGCTTAAAATTGGGTGCGTCCAATAATCTTCCATCCACAACAATTAATACAAGACAGAGAATAAAGATTCATAAACATCTTGTTTCAAAATGTAACAATTGAATTTATTAATATTTGATATACATGCATGAATACTGAGTGAAAAGGTTAGACAGAGTTGTGTCTCTTAGATTTTGTACCTAAGTTCATAAACTGAAAGTAATTATTAAACTGTAGTTTAGAAGAATAAAATTTCTTTTGCATGTTTGGAATTGTGTATTGCACAAGTTGGTAAAAGTTCAGAAGAGATTTTAGAGTTCATATTTGCGTGAATGTTGGTAATGGTCTTTAACGTCTGACTGCATTAGTTAAGATGGGAGTTCTTGAAGATTACATCTTGGCAAATGAGGAATGAGACATGAGAGAGAGATTACACGTGCTTTGTTTTTATAATTTTGTTGTACCATGTGACAGGCTCAAATGGAGAATGTGGGAAAACAGATTTGTCACGTGCAGACGGTTTGATTGGTCGGAACTGACCAATCAGCGAGCTAGATTGAAGGTGATTAACCAATGAATGCTTGTTATATATTTTGTAAGATTGTGATGGTGAAAATTACAACAGGAATAATGCATTTCCTAGCAGGGGTTAACTGGCTTGTTGTGGAAGATTCCACAATGTAAAGAAAACAAACAAGACCAATGTATATATATAAACAAATATATGTATTAAACAACAAATTTACAAGTGACAAAGACATCAACATTTGTGTTTGTGTGTAAATGTAAAGAGTTTGTATTTTCGTGAATGTTTGTACGTATGTGTATGTGTGTTTAATGTTCACAGCATCTCCCACAAATGAGAAGACACTATCTTCTGTGATAGTTTACATTGTAGATGTGTTCACTGAAATGAAGAAATTAAAAAAGAGAACAAGGCAAGAAGTCACCCAGTATTTATAGAGTAGGGAGAGCGACCCCTAGTGAATAATTAGGGAATTAAGGAAGAGCTAACTCTGACATATATGTGGTGTGCTACTCCACACATGAACTCAAAAGAATCAAAGAGTGGTTAAAGATAAACTTCAGTTGAGTTAAATTCTTTGGGTAGTTGGTACTCAGACAAAAACTGAGATTGAAAAAAAAAAGACTCTTATTGTTAGCAATGGTTCACTGACCATCTTCGTTGATGTTGTTGGAAATGATCCACCACCGACTGGTTGTCCATTCTGTTGTTGAAGATGATTCATTTGAAGTTGCCAGCTAGCTGCTGATGCTGTTGTTGGAGATGGTTTGTTAAGAGTCACTGACATGTTTCTTTCAGCATTCACTGGGGGAAGACAGTCACATCTATCTTTTTGAAAGTTGAAATCTATCAGGTTTTTTTGTAAGAAATTTTTCCCAAAAGTAGGCTCAAGAAAAAAAGGGTTTTAGTTTTCTCTGATTGGTGAAATAATTCACATGGTGATTTTAATTTCTAACCAATAGAAACTTTGTTTTAAACATTGCATGCTTAAACAGAATGTTTTTAGCATGTTTGTCATATAATCTGCTGTTGGATAGAAAATAAAGTTTGGGCAATTTTAATATGGTATGTATGTGGATATGTAATTGTGTTAGAAATAGTGTTTCTTTCCTATAGTTGCACTATTAAATAGGTTTCTGGCTTTGAACATTTATTGACAGTCAAGTTTGACCCAGACCTATAAATATTTGTTCCTAATTTGCTCTATAGTGGCATGGGGCTTAGGGGTTAAAAGGAACTGTTGATTTATTCATGCCAAGAAGATTAATGAGCGATGATAATGACGAGGAAACACACAGGTAATTTTAACAAATCAGATTAAGAAATATCTACACTATTTACATTATTTGGACTGTTGTCCTCATCTTCAATAACTGACCACAGCTGAGGTGAACAAAAACTTGAAAAATTGACTTACTAAAGGGAAATAACTGAAACTGAAATATCCAGAAAAGGCATGGCATGTGAAGGTAGAACAATCTACCCCAGTGGATGAAATAAAGAGTTCAGTTCGAAATACCAACATATACCACCTGAAGAAGGCTGGAGTGTACAATGGATGAAATGTCATGAATATGACAACAAAGATGTGGACAACGTTCCAAACAATGTAAATAGTGTAAATAGTTATAATACCTCATCTCAGAAATACAGACATAAGATAAGGAATTTATTCACAATTTTACGCATTTGAAGTAGTGTCAAAAGCTCATTTCAGAAAAATAAATCAGAATTCATAAACCCATAATTCTAACATATTGTCTAGAAGAGGAAATGTTCATACAACAGATTAAATAATCTCATACAAAATAATATTAAAAATGTTTAAGACAAAGGTAAGTTATTTCGTTGCTCACAGAAGGGATATATGGTTTGTATATGTTCAAAAGTAGTTGAAGAGAGATAGTTTGATATACTTAGTTTTCTTGGATTGTTGAGAGAAAATTCTCTGAAGATCCACATACTGGTTAGAGGCCGATAATATAATTGGTGAATAATTTTGCACTGGCAAGAACTTCAATGTGTAGGCTCACAAATTTATTTCCTTCTTTTTCTTAAATGACTGGCTAATTTCTGTGAAGGCAAAACTTTCATTGGTCCAAAAACAATTTCACATAGGCTTTCTTCATCTTCCTCAGTCCTCTGAATTTAGAGAGTGGATCAAGAGACTTATTATTATTTTACAATCACTACAGTTCTGCACAGAGAAACTATAAGATATAAATAAAACCAGCAGAGTGAAAGGCGAGAAGTGGGAGGGTCCTACATGTAATATTTGCTGAAGGAAAACTGCCAGGTTGGTGGTATGGTCTTCAAATTTCGAGGTACCACATGGGCTCTTCTGTTCTTCCAACTACTGTGAGCTTGAACAAAATGACATTTAACATCTTAAAGGTCTATTATCAACAGCTGGTGTAGACAAATATGTCTTGCCTCTACATATGCTAAATAGTGTTATAAAATAAAATAAGACATATCTCGGCTGATTTACAGGCAAATACTCAAGAGCGAGAACCAGATGTGAACGGGACAAAGCCCCGTCACAAAATGACCATTATCTTCGTTTACAAATTTCCCCGACACACAAATTCCAGTCGAAAAATAAAATAATATTTAAAGTGCTCTATTTTTCATCCAATAAAAATGCTTCCCTCCTAATTATACTCGCTTCGTTTCTCGAGCCTGTTAAGCCATAAAAAAACGCTATAAAAGGGGTCACATGGAAGTTCAACAGGGGGTCCACAGGTGCCCAGGTTAGAGACCTGTCGCGTTCAGCTGCTGACAGCAGGGGAGCATCAACCACCGTCAACATGTGTGAACAACTATGAGAGATCGACCTAAATCCGAAGCCGGCTTATGAACTTTACCACAAGGTAGCTGTCCCAAACCCACACGTTCCCGTTGAAATAAACCACGTAAATCTATTTCTGCTGTTGTCGTATTTCTTTCTTGCAACCATATGTTTGTCTATAACAATAGCAACCCAAGTTTTGTCACATGAGATAATCTTCCATTGCATCCCTACAGCCCTCAAGTGAAACTCAAATATATGATGCATCCCTAAAGATGTTGGAAAAATAGCTGGTTAATTGTACTGCTTTAGAAAATATCTGACTCCAGTTGGCATGTTTTATACTTTAAGTTTCTTCCCCAGAACCATTACATTGTGGAACAGACTCCTGACAGGATGCTTCACTGACCACTACAATCTTTTTTCATGTACAGGGTAAAACGTTGTTATCCACTTCTTGACTATGTTCACATCCACTTTCTGGTTTCCATTAATGTTCAGCAAGTATCTTGTTGTGGTCTCTACTTCTAGTGCAACTAAAAACAGTGACAACTAAAATGTTCACATGTAAATGACTTATTATTTGCTAAGGTAAAAAGAAATAAATTTTAATATGGATATATTTTCATGTATTTTTCTATAATTAATAAACGTTAATAAAAGAGAGAATATATACTAGTATGTATGTGGCTACATTTTGGAGGAAAAGAAATATAATGATGAAGATTATTCTAGGTTTTTATAGTCCTAAAAA